CAAGAGCTAGAACGTATGGAGAGCTTCTGAGGGTGAATGGGGTGGAGTTGGGGCGCAAAAGGTCATTTAAATAGGGTGCAAACCCTTGGAAATTAGTGTTTCATCAGATAGCGCGGACTCGCCGAGTCGCCAACTTAACCGTGCCCCAAGTCTCGTCTCTACTCGGCGAGTCGGACCTCCAACTCGCCGAGTCCATGGCCAAAAATACAAAATACTCAGACATATCTTACGTACCAGGAACCAGGTGCTACAACTAATATGTCCTCCTGATATTTTTAATGTTTTTTCTATTTAATTTAATGTTTTATTAAATTAAAATATAGGTCTCTCTCTAATCGACAGGCCAAGAGGCTACCATAACCTCCTCACCCCACTTGATCCTACATCACTGATCACCCCCAACAGTCACCTCTTCGTTGCTACCTGTGTTTGAGCTCACACAGCCGCCGATGAAGCTAGAACAGTTGAGAGAAGACACGTTGAAAAACCAGTCGTCCTCCCCCGCTATCGGCACTTCAACACTGAACACACATGACAGTGAGAACAAGACAGGAAGGCCCACATCTGGATCTAAAGTCGCTGTCGAAAACCCACCACCGAAGGCTCTATGTCTGGTAGGTAATTCAGTTTGGGTTTAAAGTCCATCGGCGTCTCTATTGACCACCCATATAGAAATGATTTTCGGTGGGTGATTGAATTTGGGTTTGAGCACCCCTTGATTCGAACTTAACACATTTTTCCGATAAGGTATCTGAGCACACTATGTAGCAGTAGATCGTTTTTCCGACGAGGGAGATGCATGTAGAGATAGTTCTAAAAGCTTTAAAGATCAAGAGGTGTAGAAGAGTTTTCTACACCTCGCCGAGTTCATGGCCAACTCGCCGAGTCCATGGCCAAAAATACAAAATACTCAGACATATCTTACGTACCAGGAACCAGGTGCTACAACTAATATGTCCTCCTGATATTTTTAATGTTTTTTCTATTTAATTTAATGTTTTATTAAATTAAAATATAGGTCTCTCTCTAATCGACAGGCCAAGAGGCTGCCATAACCTCCTCACCCCACTTGATCCTACATCACTGATCACCCCCAACAGTCACCTCTTCGTTGCTACATGTGTTCGAGCTCACACAGCCGCCGATGAAGCTAGAACAGTTGAGAGAAGACACGTTGAAAAACCAGTCGTCCTCCCCCACTATCGGCATTTCAACATTGAACACACATGACAGTGAGAACAAGACAGGAAGGCCCACATCTGGATCTAAAGTCGCTGTCGAAAACCCACCACCGAAGGCTCTATGTCTGCTAGGTAATTCAGTTTGGGTTTAAAGTCCATCGGCATCTCTATTGACCACTCATATAGAAATGATTTTCGGTGGGTGATTGAATTTGGGTTTGAGCACCCCTTGATTCGAACTTAACACATTTTTCCGATAAGGTATCTGAGCACACTATGTAGCAGTAGATCGTTTTTCCGACGAGGAAGATGCATGTAGATATAGTTCTAAAAGCTTTAAAGATCAAGAGGTGTAGAAGAGTTTTCTACACCTTGCCGAGTCCATGGCCAACTCGCCGAGTCCATGGCCAAAAATACAAAATACTCAGACATATCTTACGTACCAGGAACCAGGTGCTACAACTAATATGTCCTCCTGATATTTTTAATGTTTTTTCTATTTAATTTAATGTTTTATTAAATTAAAATATAGGTCTCTCTCTAATCGACAGGCCAAGAGGCTGCCATAACCTCCTCACCCCACTTGATCCTACATCACTGATCACCCCCAACAGTCACCTCTTCGTTGCTACCTGTGTTCGAGCTCACACAGCCGTCGATGAAGCTAGAACAGTTGAGAGAAGACACGTTGAAAAACCAGTCGTCCTCCCCCGCTATCGGCACTTCAACACTGAACACACATGACAGTGAGAACAAGACAGGAAGGCCTACATCAGGATCTAAAGTCGCTGTCGAAAACCCACCACCGAAGGCTCGATGTTTGGTAGGTAATTCAGTTTGGGTTTAAAGTCCATCGGCGTCTCTATTGACCACCCATATAGAAATGATTTTAGGTGGGTGATTGAATTTGGGTTTGAGCACCCCTTGATTCGAACTTAACACATTTTTCCGATAAGGTATCTGAGCACACTATGTAGCAGTAGATTGTTTTTCCGACGCGGGAGATGCATGTAGAGATAGTTCTAAAAGCTTTAAAGATCAAGAGGTGTAGAAGAGTTTTCTACACCTCGCCGAGTCCATGGCCAACTCGCCGAGTCCATGGCCAAAAATACAAAATACTCAGACATATCTTACGTACCAGGAACCAGGTGCTACAACTAATATGTCCTCCTGATATTTTTAATGTTTTTTCTATTTAATTTAATGTTTTATTAAATTAAAATATAGGTCTCTCTCTAATCGACAGGCCAAGAGGCTGCCATAACCTCCTCACCCCACTTGATCCTACATCACTGATCACCCCCAACAGTCACCTCTTCGTTGCTACCTGTGTTCGAGCTCACACAGCCGTCGATGAAGCTAGAACAGTTGAGAGAAGACACGTTGAAAAACCAGTCGTCCTCCCCCGCTATCGGCACTTCAACACTGAACACACATGACAGTGAGAACAAGACAGGAAGGCCCACATCTGGATCTAAAGTCGCTGTCAAAAACCCACCACCGAAGGCTCGATGTCTGGTAGGTAATTCAGTTTGGGTTTAAAGTCCATCGGCGTCTCTATTGACCACCCATATAGAAATGATTTTCGGTGGGTGATTGAATTTGGGTTTGAGCACCCCTTGATTCGAACTTAACACATTTTTTCGATAAGGTATCTGAGCACACTATGTAGCAGTAGATCGTTTTTCCGATGAGGGAGATGCATGTAGAGATAGTTCTAAAAGCTTTAAAGATCAAGAGGTGTAGAAAAGTTTTCTAAGGAAGAAGATGAAGAGGAATATGGTTCTAACAAAATTCAAGGGAAAATCTCTGACAAAGTTCTTGTAGTTTTATTAACCCTATTAATCTGGAGTCGGAGAAATACCAGAGAAAAGACGGGAAGAAGCATTGCTCTTAAAGATCTGGTGAGAATTTTTATTGTATGTACTTTAGCTTTAAAGATTTTTGTTTTTTGTTGCAGATGTTTGTGTTTATGTGTTAGGTTTGACTAGTGCACACCATGTGTTCACCGAAATGCTTGACTAAGGAATCAAACCCAATGTAGTTACATACACACAATTGATTCTTGCAGTAAGCTTTTGAGTTTTTGGGAAGGATGATTGATAAGATGAAAAGGGTGATTGTTTATTGTGTGTACGAGAGAGTGTGTGTGTGTGTGAGAGAGAGAGAGTGAGACTTTTATTTTTTTGAATTATTTAAATAAATAAATAAGTATTTAGATTTAAAAAATGAAAGAAATGAAAACTAAATAACCCAATGGTATTACAGTCATTTCACTATTCATAGGGACCAAAAACACGATGAAACTAACTCAAAAAGATCACGAAGCCAAAAAAATCGAGGTTTTGATTAAAACCCTCAAAAAATACATACCACAGGAACTATTTTTGTAATTTTGTCAAAAAAGATATATATATATATATATATATATATATATATATATATATATATATATATATTTGGCTTCAATCAAGGAAAACATCAAATCAAACAAAGGAAACAAGAAAAAACATATGAAACCTAAATCAAATCGACCAAGGAAAGAAGAAAAACTTATGAAACCTAGGCGAATTTATAACTTTATAAGGCTTTATAACTTTATAAGGCTGAAGGGAGTGGACATGCTAAGACTCTCGCCAAGGAAATGCTTAGGGCGTGTTTGGCACGGAGCTTTTAGAAGCGTTTGGGAGCTTCTAGCTTTTAGCTTTTGACAAAACGCCCTAGTTTAAACAAAAAGCTTCGTTTGGCAGTACGAGTGTTTAGCTTTTAGTTTTAACAAAACTCTCCGATTCTAAAAGCTACTTCATGTAGCTTTTAACAAAACGCTCCGGAGCTTTTGAAATCAATTTCCATAATTACCCTTATATATATATATATATATATATATATATATATATATATATATATATATATATATATATATTTAATCAATTGTCCTTTTATGTAATTTTATATATTTCAAAAGCTTCCAGCTACTTTTGCCAAACATTTATATAACAAATAAAAACTATAGCTTCCCGCTACCAGTTACCAGCTAACCGCTACCTGCTTCCAGCTAACAACTACTTTTATCAAACACGCCCTTAATGTGCTAAACACCACCCCCTTCAAAATGTCAAGGAAATGCTAAATGAAGGCTCGCTATGGGCTTAACGACAGGAGAAAAGAGAGAGAGAAAGATGAATACCCATGTTTTGAAAACCGGTCGGACCGGCCGGTTCGATCGGGAACCGATCCCGGATCCGGTTCTTAAATGCCAAAAAACCGGTATTAATGTTAATCGGTGAAAACCGGTCCGGTTGAACCGGTCAAAACCGAAAATTTTCAATTTTTTTTCATTTTTTGTATTTTTTATATAATTAAATATAATTATGACGTGATCCGGTTTTTGAGACCGATCCGACCGGTTGGACCACATGAACCATCAAACCAGTAAGACGACCGGTTCGGTCTCTGGTCCGGTTTTCAAAACATTGATGAATACTGTGTTCTTATTGGCTCATCCATGTATATACTTTTTTTTTTTAAATTTGTTTTTCTAAAATAAAACTCATTAAACTAACAAACTAGCAATCCTTAAGATTTTTTTATTTTGAATGCTAACACACTCCCAACCTATGTGGTTTCAAAAAAATATGGTGTGGCATAAAAAAAAATTGATATGGTAACATACTAAAATGTTACCACTCCCTTTCCCTTTAACCTAAGTGTGTTTTGTTCTTCTTAGAACGGCAATAACTCGTAAATTCACGTCAAAAATCAAGATTGTGCTCCATTGTTAAAGCAATTTCTCAAAATAAATATTTATTAAAACCATCATATATGTGGGCTGGAAAAATCACCGATTTGAGTCGATTTGATTTGTGAACGACATTAATAATAAGAGTCCACGGATCACAAAATATCATAAAACAGCCCTTGAATTTACAAGAAATGACATATTTGACTCGATACAAAGAAATGGTGCTCAATCAACTGAATTGAAAAGAACAAACACACACTTCACAAATGAGTGACTCCTCCGCCATGGCTATCCTTCTTCCATCAACTTCAGCTCTTCTTTCTCACAAGGTTAATTTCTTCAACACACACAGTACGCGTATTATATATATGTGCTTCTACGACTCTACATGTCTTTACATCTATCTATCGCTTTTGTGATTGTTATAGAATGCTAAGAATCAACATTTTGTAACTCGATTTCTCAAAACCAGAACACTAATTCACGATTTTGAATAAAATCAAGCAATACGAGTATGCGCCTAATCGTGACGCAAATGATTTCGAGATCTGGAATTTCAATTCCAAATCTAACGAAGTTAGAGGAAATCAATTCGAAGTCTGAACTAAGTTATTGCAAACCTCGAATCACATGCTTCCAAGAATTTGAATTGATAACGATTTTTTGTTGATCGCAATCGTTAATTTATGACTGGTGATAATCGCACAGATTTGTGATGTGATTGTGGATGATAACATTAGGGTTTAGGGTGTATAATGTATATAGACTCTTATTATGTCGTTTGTGATCTTATGCTCTGTTTTCTCAACCATGTTTAATCAGATCTATGGCTGTTTTATTTGATTTTTAGGTGAGCCATGTTTGTATTAGCCCAAGGGTTTCAAATATACAAGTAAGGAAAAACATCATCAAAAAAGTCTTTGAAAATGGCAACACTCTCAGGCATCGTGTGATGACAAAAGCTCAAACGTCTTTAGAGGCAGTTACTGCTGAATCTGTCGATGACCAGAATGGTAATCTTTCCTTCTGTCTTTAATTCCATAATTTTTACTTTATTTGATAAAAACTTGCTATCACATCTTTCTAAAAGCTTTTTAGTTTTCCAACATCAGATTTCCAGTACATTATTATGTTAAAGAAAAGCCTTTTCAAATAGTAAAAATTTAGGCAATTGCTTTTACCCCTTGGCCACTTTTACAAAAGTTGGATCTGTGCAGATTTTGGAGTTGTAAATCTTCACCATGTTGGAATATTATGCGAAAACCTCGAGCGATCACTTGATTTTTACCAGAACATTTTGGGTATTATGTTTTTATATTCCTCTGCTCAAGTTGAATTCTATGGATTATTTTTCTAGTTAAAAAAAGAAAAACCAAACTTTTTTATTTATTAATATGATTAGGTTTGAAGATAAATGAAGCAAGACCTCATGATAAGCTTCCATACAGAGGTGCATGGCTTTGGGTTGGTTCTGAGATGATTCATTTGATGGAACTTCCAAATCCCGACCCTTACACAGGTCGCCCTGAGCATGGGGGACGAGATCGTCACACTTGCATTGCCATTCGCGATGTCTTAAAACTAAAAGCTATTCTCGATAAAGCTGGTAATTTTTCTATCTCCATTCTTCTTAAGTGTTAAAAGAAAAAATTGAAAGTGGAATATTGCAAATAGGCAGAGTTTTCAAAATAGAAGTAGAATGTTGTGATAGAAAACACAAAGTAATGAAAATATGTTGCTATTTGTTAACATCTTGGAGAATTTATCTCAGGTATTCCGTACACTCTTAGCCGATCTGGAAGACCAGCAATCTTTACAAGAGACCCGGATACCAATGCATTGGAATTCACACAAATTGATTCACCCTGAACAATTTTATCATATATGTAGATATGAAGTACAAACATTTTATCATATACTCTCTTCAAAGATTAATGTGAATATTAGGTTAATGAAATCTCCATAAAAGAACATATATGTATTTTTATGAATTCTATGAATCTAATAATTGATATAAAGTAGTCGATGATTTGGTTATTCATATTTCCGAAAATATGTATGTACAAAACACATCATAATTACAACTGAATTTTATAACAAATTATGCAATAAAATTTAAATCAAAAGTTGAGAAATGTTTGATTTCATACTGAGTTCTTTGAGTTTGAGGATGTTGAAAGTAATCTCCAATCTTGTATGGCTGAGCGCAATGTGTGGTTGGGAGTTAAGGTTTTGTGTTTTAGGCGACGCTTTGTGACTGGTGATTCGTTTTGTCTTTCAAGCCATATCTTTATAGCTCTATGTTCATATGTAAACCCATCAGCAGCAATGTGAGGATCATCCATCACTTCCTGGACTCGCAAATTCCAAAATATGGGATATAGAAAATTCGAGTGAGGAACATAATCGAATTGATATTACATAAAGGCTTGTAAATCTTTGACAACAAGTAAGAGAGAAAGCAAACAAACACCATGATACCTGGACAATTGGACAATAGAAATGACTAGGAACATCATTATTATTGCTGTTTCCCCCGACCTTCCTACCCGTATCACCAACTTCACAAAGCTTCTTCAAAACCGGGAGTATCTCCGTATCAAGATCCGGTCTATCCCTACATCTAGGACTACAACACTTCAGACCTAACAAAGCCAATTCTTCCGCTTCCATTAACAGCCAATCACTTATCGAATCATCCAACACATCAACCAAATTCCCACGAGAAACAGCCAACTCAACTTTCTCAATAATCCCCTTGGGTTTAAGCAAAGTCAACAACTGCAAGATTATAATCCCAAAAGCATATAAATCCGATTTGGGTCGAACCGTACCCGTTCTATGATACTCCGGATCAATATAATACATGGTCCCCGCAAGAATCGAATCTTTATACTCCGTGATATTATCGGGAACCATATCCGTAATAAGTTTTGCCATTCCCACATCACCAATTTTGCTCACGAAATTTCCGTCAAGTAAAATGTTTCCCGGTTTTAAATCACGGTGTACTATAGGGTCGGGTTTTGAGCTATGTAAAAACGCTAGCGCACATGCAACTTCAAATAGTACACGAAAACGCGTGGACCATGGAAGATTGTGTTTGGTGGTTTTTTGGGAGATGTGGTCTTCGAGGCTTCCGTTTTCCATGTATTCGTATATTAAGCAGCCTCTTTCGGGACATGCTCCAAGAAGTTGTAGTATATGTGGATGGCTTAGTTGACTTAGAACCTCGATCTGCGTAAAAAAAATGGTGTGAGAAATGAGTTTTGCTTACAAAATACAAAGCATATGATATAAGATTCTTGAAGAAAAACCTCTTTTAGGAACTCGCGTTTCTTTTCGGATGTATCGGACCAAAGAACTTTAATGGCTACAGTGGTATGGTCTATATTACATTTGTAGACTTTACCATAAGCTCCTTCACCTACAACTTTTGATTTTGAGAAGGAATCTGTTGCGAATTCAATCTCGTTGATTGTGTATCTTCTGTAACGTTTGTCATTGTTGTTAAATAATGCTTCGACAATTTGTTGTTTCTCGGAGGATTCCTTCATGGCTTTTATTTCGGCTATTTCTCTTTCGTAAGCCTCTATTGCTAACATGTTTCTTGCCATTTCAACTTCTTTAATTGCTTCCAGATGTTTTTCTTTCTCTTCGGCTGCAATTTTCCGGAATTTCTCTTCACTTTGTACTGAAGAATGAATTCTTTTGGCATCTTCTTTGCTATCAAATGAAAGCATTTGAACCTGTATATAGTAACAACCTCAAACAGTAATCATTAAATGAAATCATTTTCCAATTCCTTTACAAATTACAATACTAACCTTGTTTTGGGTGTGAACCAGTTCATCACAAGCCTGATTGTACATGTTTACAGCATGTCTTAACTCGAGTCGGAGTTTTTCAACTTCAGCATGCAAGTTTGACTACAAAATAAGAACACAAACAGTTAAATTATAACTAAAAAAACAATGTAAAGTAATGTCTTTATGTAACAACAAAAACCTTATCTGAACATGTTGAAGACACGGAAGTTCCATTTTGCAAAATCACATCACCAAATGCGATTCGGGAACTCCCCCTATCATCAGTACTAGAAATTATTGAAGCTTTCTCATGGTTTGATGCCACAGATGATGTTTCAAGTGTATTGCTTTTGATTTTGAATTCATTAGAAGAAGAACAAAGGCCACACCATAGTTGACTCATGCCACAAGACAGCTGGTGGCTGGAAGTACTGCTGTCTGTAATTCATAATGTATTAGAAATGAAATCGGTTGAGTTTTTAATTAGGTGAACTGAGGTTACCTGAATTGGAAATGAGTCCATGTTTAGATACAATGTATATATTACATGTTTTTGGAGCTTGTTTTAGAACATCCAAGGGTACTTCTCCATATAGTTTCCTAAAATGGAATGTTAGAAGTTCAAACTTTTAAGAATATAATTTTTGCAAAAGAAGAATTATTCTTTTAGCAAATCCCTGAGCTGGCCCATGTGGGCCCGCCCCATGAGCATACACAGTGGCCCACTAGGTGGCTGACATAAATGCAAATATGGCATTTAGGAATATAATACACAAAAGGCATTAAAAGTGGAATAAAATATTGTTAGTAAACTGTAAACCTGGTGAGCCAATTGGATGAGCAAGAGCCAAGAACCAAACTATTGATTCCTGACATGGATGCATAGTCTACAAGCCCTGATGCAGGATTATCCCCTTCCACCACCATTGTTTCTATCTGGAAATTACAGGTTTATGTTAAAAAGATTGGTTTAATTCTTTGTAAAAACGTAAGATCATAGGTCAATTATTGTAAAAACCACTAGATTATCGTGACAAAATCGAAACTTTTTGAGAAAAGAATATTGAACCTTTTTGCCTTTGCATAGCTTCTTGAATGGTATAAATAGTTCTTCGATCTGTGATTTCATGTCTTCTACATACATGGCTACTACATTAGCATCCAGTTCCTCAATGGGGATTTGATTTCCTGCTGCTCATCAATTCAAATGCCAGATTTGTAGTTAGTTTTAATCTACATTTTGTTCCAATATGAATGTAATATTTTGTTCTAGTTACCTGTTTGTCTATTGTTATCATTATAGATAGAGAGAATACACTATTTTGGGCACCCAAACATTTTGTTTAATTTCTTCATCATATGATATATATATATAAGCTATTTGATAGATAAGTAAATACTTCCCTTCATTGGTAAAGCATTACAATTTCATAAGAATACGATTCCTACTTTTGGTAAAATATTGATAGAATCAAGATAATTTTGATTCGTAAAAGTCAACTGTTTTATACAACTTTAAGTAGTTTATTACTAAGTGAGTGATGAGTGATGTTAATATCAAAATGTTGCCTTTTTTCTAAACAAATACATGCGAATATGCCCAACAATAACACTTGACGTTGCAGAAAAAACAAAAATCACTTTAATTGGAGTTAAAATATTGCTTTACCTTTCTATAAAATGAAACTTTTTTTTTTCAAAATTCTACAGAGATATTGGTTGTTCATAACAACGCTTACTTACAACTATCAGAAAATTTAATCGATCTATAGGCCTAACTTAGATCACCCATTCCAAAATTACGGGATCAGTGCAAATAGACCAATTCATATATAATCATATAGAACATAGCAGATACCTCAATTCATGAAATCGTCATAGGACTCTTACTTTTTTGAGTAATTTTTTAAGAGGAATGCTAGAATGACTACATCATTTTCCGAATAATATATGTCAATTAAACGATCACTCATATTTTCATCAGTGTTAACTTATCAGAGAGTTTTGACGACATGTAACCCTAGTTTGTAGCAAATTAATTCAACAACAAAACCTAAAATTTGCACAATTAGCAAGAAGTTAATAAACTCAAGGCGTTATGCGGAATTATAGGGAAAAAACATTTGATCAGTAAAATTCGTCGAATCTGTTAGAGAGAAAGAGAGAGAGTACATGGAGTAGGGATCGAAGTGAGGTTCGGAATAACGTGAATTAGGATGAAACGATCGGCTTTCTGAAACAGATTATCCACTGCCCATCGTACAGCTCTTCTACTGCCTTTGCCGCCAATTCCTCCGGGATTACCACCAGCCTTCACGGCCACAGCCACCGCCACCGACGACGGAGCACCAGCACCGTCTACAGTACTTGTTGACTCCATATCCTCTCAAATGAAAGAGAATTTCAGAATATCCAAGAGAAATATAGTTTGACTTCCATCTCAGTATTCTGCGGAAAAAAACGACGACTTCCAACAACCTTTTTCTGAAAAACAGAATATACGCTTTACTCCCTTTGTGTTTGCCTATATCTCTGTTTTTGGGGTGGGAGGGGAGGTGTGAAGTGTGAACCCGTGTGTTTATGTTTTAGATTTTTTTTAATTAGAAAAATATGAATTACGAGAAAATTTGTAATTTTGAAAATATTTTATTTTCTGTGATCATTTTAGAAAATTTGTTGAACTAAAACCGTTTTCAAATTCTTATTTTTCTTAAATTTTTCGGAAAACAACTTATTTTTTCGAAACTAAACGCATCATAAATTTTCCAATAATTAAAAGATTATAACAATTATATTAAAGGTATTTCAGCAAACAACATAAAATTTACAATACACATAACGATTGTCATGATAAAAACAACTCTAACGCTTCGTACCCGAGTTTAACAAAAGAAAAGAAGAGAAGAGAAAAGAAAGTCATGAGAGAAAAGAAAAGAAAGAAAAGAAAAATAAAATTTTCTTTTGTGTTCCGAATTGAAAGAAGTGAAAGGAAAATGAACAATTTTGTTCTTTCTTTCCAAATCCTCCCAAATCGGAAGGAAAGTTAGGAGGGAAAGTGACTCTCTCATTTCATTCCACTTCCTTCCACTTCTCTCATTTAATTAAACTCGGAAACACCAACTTCTTTTATTTTCTTCTCATTTCCACTCATTTTCTTTCCTTTCTCTCGTTAAGTTGACCTCGGGAACGGGGTGTAATGGGCTGTTCGATAGGATCTGAATTTTTAAGATGTCTGGATTTCTAAGAGGGTTTGAATTTTTAAGATCTGAATTTTAACATGTTGTTTGGTTGGAACCTGTGAATTAATGTGCTTAATTATAAAGATTACCATTTTACCCATATGTATTATTTTTTTGTCAAATTCGATGTTTCTGTTTATAAAATAATCAAAAAAATTCTTGAATAATTATAAAAATATATATTTAAACACCATACAAAATCCAAATTAAACATAAATCAAAATTAAACAAAAAACCAAAGCAAACATAAATATTTGACAAATCTATCCAACTATAGCAATCATTGTTTTGGACGACATTGCTTAAACTAAACAAAAATTTTGAAATACAATGCTCTAATAGGAAAAGGTGAAAGTATGATGATATAATAAAGAAATCAACAAAAATCTATTACACGAGTTGTTTCACCTCACAAAAGTCCTGCATTCTATAAGTTTTCGTTAAGCTTTCTGCTTTCCAAAGGCCTGCTCTTTTTGAAAGAGTTGTTTGGCATGCCATATGACTCATATCAACTGTATATTCGTGTAATCAGTTGTAATGTATAATTAGGGGCTATTTAAAGTTCTTGATTTTGTCCCCTCCTATTTATCTCTTTCTTCTACTTATTGTTTGGCCTCTAGATCCCCTTGAGTCAATGAATAGATGATATGATTGACAATAACAAATTTTTAAAAAGTAAAACATTTGAACATATAAAAATATTTGGTAATGTAGACAAATAATTCATCAAACTGGATTCCATATCAGATTTTAGATTTCATAGCATCAGATTTATCAAGCATCATAACATCAGATTTCACATTTCACATAATCAATTATGTCAAAGAAAACACGAAAAAAAAAATCAGAAACTTCCAATCTAAAATCAAAATCATGATGTTATTCACATAATCAGTAATGCGAGATATCAAATTTGAATCAAAGCATCCGATATATAGAGAATCGGATGTCAAACCTTGAAATCAATTGCCAAACCTCGAAATCGATTGCTCCAGGGCGATGGCTGTGGGGGAAGACGTAAGCGACGATAGCTATAGTGAAGAGGCAACAACTATGGGAGGGGGTTATAGGTGTGGTGTCGCCGACGAATGGAGGAAGATACTGTTGGATTAGTGCCTAAGTCCATAAATATATTTGGTATGTACTTGACCCGATTGTTGCATGGTCCTTTTGGGTTGCCTTCACCAAAGCAACTGGACAGGATGATTTATGGAGAGAGAGAGAGAGAGAGGATATTATGGTTTTTTAATATATTATATGAATAATATATTAAAAGATAAATCATATTGTTTAATTAATATTAGTCAAGAATTAAATAAGAATTAGTTTTATGGCTGAAAGAGATTAATTAAATAAATATGACTGAAATTGTCAATTATAAGATAATTGACTTTGGGCTATGGATCTTGTGGATTAAGGGAGTGGACGAAATTAGGGTGGAAACCCACCTTGAAATCGTCCAAGGGCCCTATTCCAGAAGGTTTTTGGAGCTGCTTAGGTCCTAAGCTATCCAATTAGGGTTTTGACTGAAACCCTAACAACTCAGCTATTTAAGGACCCCTAGGGCTTCATATTTTGGCTACCCTAGAAACCCTAAAATTCTAAGAGCCGAAATTGTGCCTCCATTCCCTCTCTTATTGATCATCTTCTTGCATTGGTGTTTGTAAGCCATTAGAGGTATTACAATTGTGATACTAAGCTCTTGAAGTTGAAGATTCTTGCTACTATCAAAATGTAATCATCTAAACTCGTATTAGTTGTAGATTTCAATTCTTATAGTATGCTAGATTAGGGTTTACAAGCTTTGGATAAATTTGCATGTACAATAAATAAACCTTGATCCAAAGCTTTAGGGTTTTTGCATGTGGACATAGAAATGTTCTTTTGCTCAAAACCCATGACATATAGGGTTCTTAAATCGATTACATAAAATCGATTTGAGAAAAAATCTTACTTGATGTTGTTGTCTCTGAGTTTTGAGGAAGCTGGAGGCAAAAGGGGTTGGCAGCAGTGAACTGAACGGAGGGCAGATGGTGGAGGCGGAAGGTGTGCACGTCGAGAGAAGAAGGTCGAGGTGGAGGTCTATACGTTAATAAAAGGAACTGTGGGTAAAAAAGGAACAAGGTCTCTTATTTTTTTCAGACCTCTAACTATATTTGAAATATTAAGAGGTTTTAAAAAAATTAAGAGGCTACCAAACGGTCTATATCTGAATTTATAGGAGGTTACCTCTTAATTTTTCAATTAAGAAGTAAACAAATAAGGCCTAAGTAATATAACATTTGTAAGCATTTGTTCTTCCAACTTTAAACTACCGTTTTGGTTCTTCTTCAACTTCAACTACATTTCTCTCAGAACCTTTAGTTCTAGCTCCCGTTTTTTCAACTTCAAACCACCATTTATGTTTTTATTCTTCTACTCTAATTGCATCTCTTTTGATTCTGATGTATATCCTTAACTTGGTGTGCATGTCAAGAAACAAATTTGTTTAGCTTTTTAAGATAGTTTCTCGCCCATCCATCTAAAATATATATAGTCTTTTCTCTTATCCAGTAAAGATATCACATTAAAAGTATCTGGAAAAAAATTTAAGTCCATTACACTTCATGCTTAGATATTTTGAACACAAACCTTGAAATTAGGGTATCCCTAAAACATTCTACTAAGGGTTCAAAGGAGTCCATGATGTAAATAATGGAGCTTCCAATCAAAGTCACACCTATGGATTTCACCTATTTGTATCAATCATGTACTCCTTCGGGAGCGTGATACAGATGATGAGAAGAAGAAGATAGTGAATGGTTAAGTATCAACCTGATCATTCAGGATTTTAAAGTGAATTGGTATGCCTCATAAAGATTTCGTTAAAACTACCTCATGGTGGTTAATAATTTTACAAGAAACTAAATGCCAATATGTGATCATGAATCAGTTGTGCCATTTGATGGGTACATTTACAAAAGCAAGTGTTTCCCATGGCATTGTTCATATCCCCATCTTAATGTAAATGCAGGTTGAAAGTTCATAATGTGCAATATTCTCTCTCTCTCTCTATCTATCTATATATATATATATATATATATATATATATATATATATATATATATATATACACACACACACACACACACTGTAATGCCCATCTCCATTTAATGATTTTCAAACAGGGGTAGATAAATAACAACGAGTAATTATATAATTAAAAACTAAATTTTATAAGTCTGACAAGTTAATTCATTAAATAAAAGTTTAAATTAAAATAATAATAATAATAATAATAATAATAATAATAATAATAAATAGTTGAAATAAATCAATTTATTAAGTTAGTTAATGATTTATCTTTCTAAGGGGTGTTGGGTCATTTTTGAAAAGTTGATTTGAAGGAAAAGTTTATATAGGGTGAATTCTGTTTATATGTCATTTCCGAAGAGCTGATTGTGCCAAAAACTAGAAGATTCTATCTTGATTAGGTGCAGCGATCGCAGAAAGCTGAGTTTTTTTTTTACCAATGTGGTGTTTTTTAAAAACATAATTACCAAACAAGTGTAGTTTTAAACATATTTACCTTTTAGGGTTAAAGTTACCGACTAACAAAGCAAACAGAATGGAATGGCCACACCAAGGCTCCCGCGACACCCCAATCACCTTCTTCGACTCCGGTCATAACCGATTGTGGCGAGTCTGGTTCTAGCCACAGAAGACGCTGATGAGTCCGCCTCTACCACAGAAGATGCCGACGAATCTGCCTCCACCATTGCAGACGCCGACGAGTCCTAATTTCTTCTAACTGTTTTTCGATGCCAGCCACAGGCGACGCCGGTGAGTCCGTTTTCGGCTACAGAAGCAGCTAGCCAGTCCGCCTCCATCACAGCAGACTCCCGACAAGCATTACATTCATGTAAGTCCGATTCCTATTGTAAGTATGATTCCTAATTTGATTTTCCACTGCAACAACTGTTATTTGCTTCAACATTCAGATTTTGGAAGCAACTTTATGCATTTTAAACAGCTTCATCTCATCAACCATAAATTGCAATTATAGTAACGTGTTTGTTCATCAACAAATGATGAAATTTCGTTTGTTACAAATGTCTTTGTTCAACTTTTTTTTTATCACAACACTGCTACATAAAAATCAAAATTCTAGAACGAAGCATGTTATTTTGAATGGAAATAGCCTCTAATGTTCTAATATTTCAACTGCAGCCTTTGAACCCAAAAACCGTGAAGAACTTGATGTGAATCTACTTACATTCTCCAATTGCTTTATTTGAGAAGCAGAAGATGAATATGTTCTTAC